CTTTTTTACATAATAGATTATTTAAAACCAAGATTTGGTTGACAATGTCTGTACGAAAAAATCTGCTTCATAGCTTATGGTACCTTTTATTCCTTTTCACTCCAAAAGTTTAAACGATTCAATAATAACAACGACATCAGGGTTTCTTTCCACAGTCCAAATAAAATGGTTAAATATATTAAAGTACAGAAGGATATTTTTCCCTATACATTTAAGGGCAATGTAGTCTATATTGTGTAATAATTGTGACTTTTCGATACTGACAGTCGTTAAAAGAATGCGAAAAAATTTTATGCATTTTGGTGCAAGATCTCGGGATTGTCACGTAAAAATTGCATTACATCCTTCAAGCAATACATAGTGGCATTTTTCGTATGTAATTGTAATTTCTAAATTATAATTTCTAATTTCTAAATTTCTCCCCGATTAAATATCATATAGATATGAAATTTAGTGTATGGAGTACTTCATACCAACCATACTGAAGTCGCCGCTCATGATTAACACATAAATCGCAATTGTATTGCAGACTGATGCAAGCGCGGGATCGGGAGCCTTTGAGATGCATCCAGAATTGCACACCTACTCACGCATCAAGCATGCCGGAACTGCCACCACCTCCGCGGCCATCGTCGGGAGCATCAGCATCAATGTCAACATCGACCGCTGGCGCAGCGTCCGCCGGCGTATTGTCGCAAGAGCCGGCGACGTCACTGACCAATCCCGGGATTGGAGTCAGTCAGACGGATCCGCCGACGCCGACGTCGAGACGCGTGCGATTCCAAGGGGATCTAGATGTCAACGATCACAGCATGACGTCGCGTATCCCTCTTTCGCCAACAAACGACCGAAATTCGTCATCGTCGCCCTCGCCCACGTCGCTGTCAAGAGCAAACGTGTCTCGATCAAGGAGTCTGCAACCCGAGGAGGTTGCTAGCACGTCTTGGGGTGCGTAAAATCCTTGTCTTAAAAAATAAAAAAATGTATGGATGATTTATATTTTGATGGATGATTTCTTCTTCTTTACACTCCTGTATTGCTTTCCAAGCCATTTATAAAGGTCAGTACCATGCGATAAGATGGATCTTTTGATTCAGTGTATGCCTCTTCGGGGAGCAGAGGCCACACGTAAATATTCCACAAAAACTTGAAATTTCCGAAATTCTAACGTCAAAATAGCGACTTCACCGAATGAAATCGGATAGCTCAAGATTCGACTGTAGCTGAAACCGGCCACCGATCTGAAAATAAGACTTATAAATAAATATTCAAAAATTTAAAGCTTTAACATTTGCTTTAGCAGCCACATGTGTTATAATCGTTATAGGATATAGAGGAAAAATTTCAAAATCAATTAAAGATTGAGAGTCAACTCAGTTTTATAATTCTTCTAATTAGGGCAAGCTTAAAAAATATGATTAAGATTTTGAAAACGAAATCCACAGTCACAATCAGGATCATCTCGAACATCCATTTTGAACAAAAAAGCATTGGTATAAAAATAACCCGTAATATATGTAAATTTAATGGCCCTTACTAAAATCCGACCTATTTATCTCCTCCATCTTTTAAAGAGATATAAATTAATATCATTTAAAGACTCTTATCTGTATCATCATCTTTATTAAATGAATTCTGTTCTTATTTATTAAAACATATCTTTGCAGGAACGGCAGGCACGTCTAGGTCAAGAATGGACGACGAGGATGACGACGCCGAGAGTTGTTGCTCGACGTGCAGCTCATCCAGCAGCTCGGACGAGGCCGCGGCTTACGCACTACCACCACGACGGGCCTACGGCGGCGTCCGGATTTCTTACGTGCCAAACGACGCGGTAGCGTGTGCGCGGAAACGCGCGCCCGCTTCCTCGTCGTCATCGAATCAAGCTCAGAAGGACACCGAAAAATGCGTCATATCTTGATAACTCCTTCGGTACTCCACGAGTTTTTATAATACCTCGTCGTTATGATAATTAGAAGGACCTACAAAAGACGTTCGAGAAAGAGTTCCTACAAAGTGGACGCACTTTTCGATATCTTTTAAAGCGTCGTTGACGCCTGCAGCATCGCAGCACGTCTTACACGCACGCCAAACATATGTGTGTGTGGACGTGTACGACAAATTGAAAATAATACTCATTTCATTTCTGTAAATATAGTGAGCTCTCTTCCGGGGCACGCGATCGTCAGCGCGCCGCCACAATCCAACGATCGCGTCCCCTTTATTTTTAATACCCTATTAATGTATTTGATAATAATAACGATGACAATGATAATAACCTTGTGTGTTTTGTTGTCATTGACACTTTACCTGTTGCGAAATAAAAGTACAACAACAGTATGCGCTGTTATTGTGAATAGCTGCAATAGCTCACTTTTTACCTGCAACTGCCTATTCGCGTGCAGGACCGAAGCTGTTTAACGTAAGTATACCTTCTAATTATACAGCATTATCCTCTCATAGCTGTATTCGATTGTTCATCGTTTATCTGTGCGATAATCACTCTCGTCAAGGATCATTTTCTTAAACGGTGAAAATTCTAGGCAGCATGATCGTTGTGAGTGATAAACTGCAATGCAAAACATTTATTATATAGCTTATCTCTAGAAAGTGTTCTAATACAATTAAATATATAATTATTTTTCTTCGGAATTATACAAAGCATGACATTAATCAGTTTCACTCTTCTACTTCACTTCTTCTTTATCAAGCAAGATTATTAGGCAATATATATATTAAGCTCTTGAATTTTTTAATAGAAAGTAAATGCTTCCTTTTTCTTTTCTTTTTTTTAATTAATATGTAGGAGAAACTGATTTAATTATATTCAAATTACTAATGCGGAAATCGCTGCATTATTTGCGATTTCTCCATCATGAATCCAGAAACGAGGAAGAATGCGGCGCACTTGGTCTCAATTTGGCTGAACAAATCGATCGTTCACTTTCATATTTAGACGCGAGCGGTATGGAAATCTTCAAGTAAAAGCGGCGGGACAAGAGCGAAAATTGAAATTACGGTCGAGTGACGGAAAGAGCGAAAGTATTAGCCCCTCTTAGGGAATCGTTCACAGCGTTAGTTCTAGCTCGTGCTTTCTCTCATCCAGTGAACACATTAAATGCTCTCGGCGAGATATTGCATCTGACAGCGCGTCAAAATTCTAGCCATTAGGTCCTCGAATTTTAGATTTGGAATCTTTCGAATGATGGCATTAGCATACGCGTACTTACGATCGTACGTGATTGATATTGCCTAATCGACGTTTTGAATTATGTCAGTCTCGTTGAACGATAGAAACGTCCGAAACAGGATCTGATAAGGTCTTTGATTAAAATGTAACAGGTTTGTCTTGTTTGTGAACAGATAATTACTTGTTTTTGTTTTACCTATTCATTCTTCTTAAGATGAAGAAAAAAACTCGGCTCTTTTTTTATGTATCAATTGCGTTTCTAAATTTTTTTAAGAATATATTGAGGAAGATATTTCCAATTATATTTACAATTTTCTAAATAACAAAATAAAATTATAATTAACTATGAAATTATTTAATACTACTATATTTTATGATTGCAAATTGAGTAACAGTATCTTAATGGATATTTTTAAAGAAACCGATGCTACAAGAAGCTGTTCTCTTAAGATTTACATATCTTGAATAAGTGGCTATAGATCTTGCTTAAGACGAGATTAATGGGCGATTGGAATGTAAGTATTCGTGTACACCGTAATTTCGATACGACGTAGCAAGATTTCAAGGATTTTTTATTTTATGATTCAATATCCATAGAAGGAGCCACAGGTACTCAATCTCTGTTACAGATATTTAATTCCCATATTTAATCATGACATAGACTTGCTTCATAAGCTATAAATCTTTACACTTTATGAACAGAAATAAGAAAAAAATAGGTAAAAAGTAATAACGGCGGATAGTGGAGGGAATTATAGTGTAAATTGGATTACAGGATACATATTATGGAACTGTTAAAAAAATATGAATATACTGTTGGATTAATCCTAATCAGAATTTATTTCAGACCTTATTCTCGAAAAGTATTACTTATATATTATAATACAGCTTTGACCAAGAATATTAACTATCGTATTAACCGTTATTTAGTTTTAGTTCAAAAATTAATTTATGGCATATGCTGTGACTTATCTTTGTTTCAAAAATCGCATAAACTCATTATAATGTTTATAGAAAACGATACAATAAAATTTTAGATTAATGAAAAAATATAAGTGCCTAATATTATTTTTGGCCAAGACTGTATGCAACGTATACTAACAATAAGTATTTTCGTACATTCTTATATGCAATATTTTTTGAAAATACGATTCTTAAATAATTTATAATGTACCTGTCCAGTTAAAGTCTGCATTCCAAAAAAAAAAAAAAAAAAAAGAAAATACTTATTCGGCGTAATATAATTTGGTAAATATTATATAATCTTGGCAATGAGAGTGTTTTGAAATACATCACAAATACAGAAAGTGCATAATGTGATTGCGAGGTAAGGCGCCGGAAGATCTAACAAATACCACCTCTACGCGGAATGCAGTTCGACGCGCCTTTCTTACGCCGCGAAAATTGGTATTGCCGCGTGTATGCGTGACCGCGATTATGCAACTATCGCGTGCGCGCGAAACGAGATTTCCGGTAGCCGCTCGCTAATTATGCGTCCGAAAGAGAATGCGCGGTGTGTGCCTAATCTTGACAAAACGATTTTACGATTTATCAAAGAAACGGGACCGAGTCGCGTAACTGCTATGCGCCGTTATACGAATTCCTTCATAGGGAGAAACATTTAGATTTGCATTCTTCGGAGAGATTTACTAAGAACGAAGAAGAACATGGAAAAATGCAAAAAGTATTAAATTCAATGGACAAGTATTAAATTTAATGGAAATAAATTAATACAATTAATTTTTAATAAGTGTATTCATTAGTGTATTTTCAATACACTTAATTTTTAAGTTAGCAAAAACTTATATTTCATTAACATGTATATTCCATTAATAGTTGTTTCAATTACGGTTAATTAAAATGTCATTCAGATCTGTAAAGTAAACTACAAAAAGTAACTTAAAGAGTTTCTAAAGTCGTCTGCTTTACCGACTAACGTAATAATTTTTATATAACAATTAGTTTTTTTGTCAATGTGGCGCACTTATCGGTAAAAACAGCGATTTCGTTCGGGCACTTCTCCAGGAATTCAGATTTCACTTTAGGATTCTCTTAAGTGATTAATTAACAGCGCTACTGTCCTAAGAATGCATATATCTTTGCTTAAAGGAATACGCTGAGAGGAAAGTGTTTAGTATTATAATTGCATAGTAAAATAATTATGGTTAAGAGCTTCATTTTTATGGTCATTACTGCTGTAATGTTAGTAATAATAACCATGTACATATAATATATATATACTTCCCTCAAACGTGAACATATTTTACTATAAATTACAATAATTTTGAATATAGTAAAATATCAAGATACAATAAATGGTAAATAAGACAAACATTATTATTCAGCAAATGCAAATTATTATGAATATAATTATTTCCTTACAACACCATTTATGTGGTAATAACGACTAAAAAAATATGTTCAAAAAAACTAAAGATTTTCAAGCAGGGTGCATATTTGCATGATTAAAATAATATAAATATATAGTGATCCCAAAATGACTACAAGTTGTATAATTAAATTATGGTAATTGCAACCGTTTTTGTCTCTCAATATACATTCTTGAAGTGGGTACGCGGACGACGCCAACGGTCACACTCTCTAACGCGAAGACGACATTCCCTTCAGTAAGGAAAGAGATCTCGGTGTATCATTGTTGCGAGTTTACGATCCATGAGATCACGCGTGTAAAAATACAGAACCGCTGTTATAATCTCCGCAGTCCATTCACCGCAATGCTACTCGTTACTCGTGTGATGGATGTGGCATACCACGTACGTATCGGACCCGCGCCGTCCTGCCTGCCGCGCGGTATTCGCGATTGATCGATGACACGTAATACGCGCGCGATCATTACGACTCGTGCGAGTGAGCGAGACGGGTATCGATCGATCGACGCGGCGAAACGCGGGGCAACGGCGGTGGATAGGAAGGACGACGTGCCTCCGTGACTTCTCCTCGAGGCCGACCGAGGGAGAGGCCGCATTCCGAGCGACGCACGGGAGAAAGCTCACGCGGGCTTAGCCTGCGGGACGACAGGCAAGCCTTCGGAGGTCGAATGAGCGAGCGAGTGAGCTTTTCTCTTTCTCTCTTTTTCTTCCTTCGCACGCTCATTCGCATCCGTAACACGCCGACGAAATTTCACGTCGATCGAGAACGCAACGTGCCGCATCATTCGCCGATATGTCGCCGTCGACGTGCTGACCGTGTTATGAAGCATTTGCGAAATTCCTCTTTCGCGTCTCCCTCAGGGAGGTATTTATGGATAGCACAGATTTTCTTTCTCTATCTGGTTGTGATGTATCTCCGTTTATGAGTGTAGGATTATTTATTAGGTTCTTTATTGTAGAATTCCAAGCGGCGATGCCGTTAAACGGAATCAAAATCGAACGCAAAAAGGAAGATAAAATTCAATCAATAGCTGTTTGCGGCTTGTCAAAAAATTATGTCCGGACGTGCATGAAGCTAACGATTGCTTCGAATACAGTTAACATTTATATTATCGAGGATAAGAACCTTCTATTTGTTATACACGGAAAGAATGATTTTTTTTAAGTGTCTAAAAATTTAGATATACACATGTAGATTGAACATAATTTTGTTTGGACCATCAAAATAATTGCAAATTATTAAATAAGCTCAAACTAGTTACTAGAATGTTAAAACTTTTTACAGCATTGTTATCATCACTTAAGTATCTTACATAATTATTTTGATGATCCAACAAAATTATTTTCAGATTTGTATCTAGCTAAATTTTTTAAATACTTTAATGAAACTGATTTTTCTGTGCAAATCATACTAGTCGAAACTAGAAAGCAGTAACTAATTACTTACTTCCAATATTAAAAGCACTGTTGTCCTTTTAATATATTAAACAACAGTACTTTAGTATTCCAAATAAGTAATTAATTTTTGTCTTTTAGTAATAAATTAGTAAGTTAGATTTCTCTAAGGGTGTGATATATTATATTGCAAAAGAATCAAATCTCTACTAGATGCATGTTTTATATATATATATTTTTTTTCTTTACAATTAAAAATGATTATTTATTTCAAAAGAAACTTGTTATTTCATTCAATTTTTTCTATTTTTAAAATTCCCGATTAGTTTCTGGAA